CCAAAAAACGTGTTATTAATAGACAAAAAATATATTCTTTTGGGTCAATGCCCACAATGTTCTCTGAGTTGTCTAAAAAGACAACAGTTGTAGTACATTTAAATTATTCACAGTCGAAAATAAAAAAACAAATAAATGCAATTGATTTCTGTTTGTTTGTCACACGAATGTCTGTCTATCAGACAATGCATGTTGGTTCTGTTGCGTGTCAAAACTTATTAATATTTAAGTCTCCTTGAGAACTTAGAAGAAAGAAAGTTTGTATTTAAAAATTAGAAATATTATTTAACGATTAACCCATGGAGGTATTTAATTTTTAAAACTTGTTTTTCTTATAATATTCTTTTTCAGCTATTCAAGGGTTAATTGTATTCTGTTCCAATTTAATTGTAGGCATTTCGTTTGAAATTTTGAGATTTTGATATATTCGTTTGACATTTTGATATATGTATATGATACATTTTGTGAATATCATTCTTTTTATTTCCATAATTTAATTTGTGTGGGTTGACAATACCGTGGGAAATATTGTATTTATAGGTCTCTTGGAGGTATTATGAATTAAATAATATTTAATTTATTACGTTCTTTTAAAACAAAGAAATGCTAATCGGTTATTTCAACAGAAACCATATATTGGAACATTTCATATTCATTTACTAATTAATTTTTCGATAATATGTGATTGATAAACAAAGATTGCATGCAATATATAAATTGAGAAATTGCTGTTGTGGGAAATATTTTTCGAATTGATCCAATAATGTGTTTATAACATTTATGGATAATAATGTTGATGACGGAGAATAGTAATGAATATTGTATGAAATATATGTTACAAATATATTCTCTGTGAGGACATAATTTAAGGGGACTCCCCCTTACGATTGGCAAATAAGCATACATTATGTTAAAGACTTGTAATTTTGCATACATGTTTTTGAAGACTTAAAGGAGCAGAAAACAAGTAAGAAAGTGTCAGTCGGTGTTGCCGACAGATATATTTCCCAGCCTATGGTTTGCGCAGGAATTACACACAGATTTTATTATTAGTTTTATATATGAAATATGTTTTTATCAACGATGTTTCGGATATATTGTTTATCAAATTTTATAAAATATTGACCATTTGTGAGGGAGATACCGGAAAAAGTGGACTACTGGGTCCCATCTTTAAACTTGAGCTAGACTTGGTAAAGATAATAGGTTGTATAGAGCTTGGTTCAGATCCGACATTCCATTCGCCTGATATTGGATATAGAAATATTAAAAAATTTGAACATTTGTGGGGGAGGTACCAGAAGGAGGGTCCCATATTCGGGTCTAGACTTCGTAAAGATCATGGGTTGTGCGAAGCTTGGATCAAATCGGACATTCCATTCGCCTAATATTGAATTTAGAAATATTGAAAATGTTGACTATTTGTGGGGGAGGTACCAGAAGGAGTGGGCCAATGGGTCCTATCTTTGGACTTGATCTCATATTTCTATGAGACACATTTTTGCCGTATCAAAGTGTATATACCCTCATTAGCCATAAGGCTGTCGTTACAATAATACAATATTTTGTTTACCCTTCACTGTGGCACAGGGTATTATGTTTTTGTGCATATGTTTGTAACAGGCAAAAGAAATCGAGATAGACCCATAGTTCCTATTGAGAATATGCATAGAATAACTTTCTGAGTCGATTTATGAATGTCCATCTGTCCGTCCGTCAATGTATTTTTGTGAACAAAGTACAGGTCGCATTTATGATCCGATTTGGATGAGATGTGGCACATACCCAAGGACGAACCTTATTGAAATTGAAGAAAATCGGTTCAGATTTAGATATACAGAATTAGGCACAGATTGATGTATGCGAAGTTTCATTAAAATCGGTTCAGTTTTAGATGTAGCTCACATATATAGTTTCGTCTGATTTTATGTAAATGGAGAAAGAAAGAGCCAAATTTAGGTAGATTGGCACAAAATTTTGCAAATCGTACTGAATTAGGTCCAAATTAATGTATGCGAAGTTTTGTTTGTCCGATTGTTTTTGTTTTAATATACTTCCAATATCTATGTACTTCACGGTAATTTCGTTCGAGTCCTTTTCAATGACCCTCCAAAGATGCTATGTCTATTCTATCTAAAGGATATTGTACATATGAGCATCTTTTGTATGTACCGAACGTGGCGAAGGGTATAATAGAGTCGGCCCTATCCGATGTTGATTTTTAAAACGTTTTAACTAGCATGTTAGATGTTTATTTTTACTAATTAGGAAAACATACATCAAGGCGGCACTATCACAAGTGAGATATGGGGGTGGTACACATTAAACGCATAGTTCACATTACCCGAAGTTAATCTAATTATGATCAGAATAAAATTTTATCAAGTCAGATTGTCTGTTTGTCAGTTTGCATATTTGTTTACAAATTATAATGGACAGATGGACGGGCGTATGGACACCCATGTCTAGATCGACTCAGCTAGTCGAGATATGATACCAATATTTCACGGCGTTACAAACTCTTGGGACCACACAAACCAATAGTACCCTTACAACATAGTTGCGTAGCTTATAATTAGGACTTGAAAATGTGAATATCAGCGGGTATTATCGAATATTCAGAATAGAAGTAATTAAATGCAAATTAGAATTTTGTTACAAATTTATGTTTTAGATTTCAAAGCCAAATATATAGTTCTTGGAAACATTTGAATTTTTTAATACAAATTTAAAAATTCAAATTGTGGTCCAATTTTTTTGCTTGACCAGCCCGTTTGTTTGTAAATGACCTAACACAATTTTACCAGCTATAAGGAACCAGTTGACAAACAGGTTGTAATTTTTGACAATATAATTCATCAAATTAAATACAATGCATCTAATTAAAAATTGACCATGGATCATATGTAATGGCTAATATTTTATTAACATTTATAGGAAGTGGTGCAAATGTGGTACAGGTTGGTAATGTGGTATAGTCACTTTTTTTGTAAACTGAAAATTTTAGAATAACTGAAACATGTTTTATAGTTTGCTGTTCTCAAAAAAATAAGATAGCAATGATCTGTTTAATTTATTTAACTTACGTTGAAAATCAGTAGCAAAAATTAAATTTTTCATGAAATTGACTTTTTTCGGTTGAAGTTTAAAAATAAATTTTTGTTTTACAGATTTTTTTTAATCTTTATTATGAAAGCATTAAAATAATCAATAAGTACTAAAAATCAAATAATATGCGCGATTGCACCACATATTTACCAATTTAGGATAAAAAACTAGACAATTTTTCAGGGAACACAAGTGCAGGTAATGTGGTATACCTTGAGTCTGTATGAAAAAAAGCCAGCACAAGACAAAATTTTATTACTATTTGAAACATTTGTCCTCTACGAGAGCATATCATGTATCACAAGGAAGGAAAACAAAGGCCATGGGATTTAAACTACTTCTCCGTACGAAGATTAAATATTGTCATGTGTAGACATTATTATATAATAAAAATTAATGTTCCACTCAACGTATCCGTTAAAAATCTTAACAGACATAAATCTCGAGCTAACTCACATTCATTAAAAACAATAAATTATATAAGATATCAATTGGAAGTGAAAATTATACTATACCACATTAACATCATGTGGTATACCACATTACCTTCACTTTTTATACCCTACACAACTATGTTGTCAGGGTATTATAGCTTTGTGCAGCCCCAAATGTTTGTAACGCCGCGAAATATTGGTCCTAGACCCACCTTTAAGTATACCGATCGTCATATCTCGACTAGCTGAGTCGATCTAGACATGTGTGTCCGTCCGTCCGTCCGTCCGTCTGTCCATTATAATTTGTAAACACGATACAGGCCACAGTTATGGACCAATCTTCACGAAATTTTGCATGTAGGATGGGTTCTGGCCAATGAAGACCCCTATTGTTTTTGGAAAAGATCAGTTAATATTTAGGGGATGAAATGGACCAAATACTAAATTTTTGTCGGTTTTTCTGGTCGCTCCAGAGGCCGCAATTATGGCCCAAACACCGCGAATTTTTGCATGGAGAAGGGGATTGGGCCAGAGAATAAGCATGCATGTTTTGATAAAGATCGGTCAATATTTAGCAGGTCAAATGGACCCTGACTTTTGTGTGAAAAATGACAACATTTGTATTCTATGGCATATATATTTACTCCTGGAGGATGTAGACCCCAGGAGTTGATAGCATATCCAAGAGGAGTGGTTGGCGTTTAAATTGATACCAAATATAGTGATGTATCTACTCAGATGTGGGAGTTACAGTCAAATATTTACAGGTGCTTACGTATTCAGATATTATTTAGTAACCCATTACCACATTGGAGGGAGAAATATCGCGCTAATGGCTTTGAAATTTTTCATGAAGTTAAAGTTATGGTCAAGAACAACGCCTACAATTTTCTGTGATGATCAGATTAAAATGTTGGGATGAAATGGACCGAAAACATAATTTTTTGTGTGTTTTCGAGTAGAGTATAATCCGAAAATCACAACACAACCCACCGTGAAGGTAATCTGGACAAGTAATTAGAAGGACTGTACTGAATATTCGAAAAAAGTAAGGAAGAGGTGTTGTTAACCTCTAATCGGACAAGAGGGGGCAAATATCACGAAATATTACTCCGACTCGGAATAAACATCCTCAGAAAGTTAGAGTTCGTGGTAGTTGTGTAGGGTATCGTATGGTCGGCCCCGTCCGACTATACTGCTCCGCTCACTGGTTTTAAAATCACTTTTAATGGAATTCCAAATATTTTCTCAAATATCTCTTAAATTTTTAGAATAATATTATTTTCAAATTGATACATGGAAAGACAACACATATAGCATTTTAAGTGTAAAATTTCAATTTAATCGGTCAAAAAATAAAAATTTGGCAATCTAAAAACAAATGGTTATACCACATTTGCATCACCTCCTATATTTTAATTTTTTTGAACCGAACCAAAATGTCCTTAAAAAACTTACCATATCAAATCCCACATCATAGTGAGTGCCCCGAGTATAAAGGATGGGAATAGCCTGGCGACGAGGAATATTTTTAGCGGTCATTTTTTTGTTTTGTTGCTTGGTAACGTTGGTTTATGTACAATTAAATGGAATCGCAGAACAAACTATTGTTGAACACTCTAAAAAAATAGGATTTTTAATAAATAAAACAAAGTTTCTTATCACTTTCTGTTATTGTAGAGCTCTCAATTTGATGAATACCAGACGTTAATCTGAAATGTTTACACGTTAATTGTTTATCAGTTAACTGCAAAAGTAACGTTTAATTGCAAATTCAGAGCACACTTGATGGCATTAACGAATGAATTCTTTTTCGAAAAAAAAAAACAACAACAACAATTATTTGATATCTCTAATGTTTATTTAATTTTTTTATAACAGTTGTTTATTATCATCACAAATGAAGATAACAGAATTAAGTGTATTTTTTTTAAAAATTTATAATATTACATTTATTTTTTATTAAAGGATTTTTGTTTTGAATTTATTATTTTAAAAATTTCTTCTTCTATTACATTTAATTTTTATTGAAGAATTTTATATAATTTTTTTGATTTAATTTTCCGTTTCAAAATTTCTTATTGTTCCACAGCGTTTAACAGTAATTTTCAAACTAATTGCTAATGGATTCGCAGCCTGCTAAGTAACTTCGCTATAATTTGTTTATTGTTGGGTGGGATGGTCGGTTGGTTGGTTGGGTTCGTTGGTTGTCGGTTGTTTGTTTATTGTTGGTTAGACGTCGATTGGTTGACTGGTTGGTTATTTGACTCTCTTTCTCACTGTGTGTTTTGTTTTCGTTTTTTTGGTTTAACAACCGCATCGGCTAAGGTGTTGTTATCACACATTTAACTGACTCTGACCGACGAACACCATCAATCCAACGAATCTATAACAAACGACAACGACGACGGCAACAACGATGATGACTTTTGTCGGCTGCTTTTGTTTTGCGGCAGTATTATTATGCGTTAGCATGTTGTTCTCGTAAAATCGCCTAAACGAAAACAAAACAAACAAAATTCTCCATCGACTTATGAATGATTTTTTGCAAATACATTAAATCTCTTATACTGACTGCTACAGTGTGGAGCATAATTGAAATTATAACAAAATGCTGTGGCTACAAATAAAATTGATTTTCATACACTCAGTCTTAAGGCTAATGAGGGTATATACACTTTATTACGGCAAAAAACGTCTCATCGATTAATTGCTCCAATATCAAGATAATGGAATTTCTAATGGGATTCAACCATTGCAAATCGTAATATTTTGTCAAATCTTCATTTGTAACTCATCGCAAAAATCATTTCCGACCCTATAAAGTATATTCTTGATCAGCGTAAAACTCTATGACGATCAAAGCATGAATTAAGATAGATCGCCAACTTTTGCATAGAGTCGTCATTTGTCTGCAGGCAGGTCAATTTTGAAGATGTGCTATATCGGTCCTCGTTTAGGCATAGCTTTCATATTATTTCGTATTTCGCATATGGTAACAAATCTACCTACCAAATATTATTAATATTCGCCCCCCTTTTAGGGGTAGTCCCAATATAACCCCTTTTTATACCATTCACCACAATGTGATATAGGGTATTATGTCTTTGTGCATATGTTTGTAACAGCAAATGAGATAGACACATGATTCCTTGTGAGAATATGCATAGAATCACTTTTTGAGTCGATTTATGCATGTCTGTCCGGCTGTCTGTAGATGTTAAATTGTAAACAAAGTACAGATCACATTTATGATCCGATCCGATTTTGGTGAAATTTGGCACAAGTCACTTATTTGGCCCAAGGTCTAGAATGGTGAGTGCTAAGTTTCGTGACGATGTTGGCATTTTTACATTGTTCTCGTATATATGGCTAAATAATAAATGATCGGTTAACATTAACTAAAAAATAACATACCGGTCCATATTTTGATATAAACCCCGTATAAGAGTCTTTGCATTTTTAAAACATAGTCCCCGTATATATTTTTGGTATTTTATATCGTGTATCTCCCTTTTTTATTCCGTGTGGTTGTAATTTGACATTCCTCTATATTTAAGTTTATGCTTTTAAATAAAAAGTGTTTAATTTCTTAGTTTCGGTCTCAATGGAAGATAAACCAATCAATATTCTAATACAAGCTTTTACATACAGTTCGAAATGAATAAACATAAAACCGGTTATACAATTGAAATACCTCCTACATTTATGGAAGAATATGCTAATAGACGGCTGTTGTACATATTGTTGTTACAAACTACGACGTCATAATGTCTAGACTGGCGCTTTCGTTTTATATGTTTGTCTCATGTAGAGTGGAGGTACTGTGAGGGGATTTTTCTAAATCCATTTAGAGAAAAAGTTAGAATTGGAAAGTATGAATATTGAACTACTGCTTTGAAGACAGAAATAAATAATTACAAGTGGAGACGAATAACACTAAAAATTAAATTTTAAAACTTTTGCCATAGACAAATACATAATGATCATAAATAATTTTGATTTTTTGGTCTGCGTCGGCGTTGGTGAATTCCCGCCATGGAAATTGCCTTCCAGAAATTCAATTTTTTTCAATGAAAAAAGAAGTAAGCGCCGCAGTATATTCGAACGGTGTCGACGATGTGTAACCCTAAACTACTGCCAAATTTCTTTGGAACTAATTCTACTTTTCACAAAAAGTCTCGGTCTTCTTGACCTGCTAAGTTGACCAATCATCATTAAAACAGCTATGCTTATTCGTAGTCCAACTACATTTCGTTTCCTAAATGTCGATGTCAACACATGGACCTATATGGATTATTCTCAGAATATAAGAACACTTTTGGTAGAGACATTTGACAGCCTACAATAATCTCAAACATTCAATTTGACCAATACCGATTAATGGGAGAAACAATAATATGGAGCCTATTCGGAAACATGGGTCAGTAATGTTAATCAAAAGAAGAAAATTACAAAAATTAAAAAAAAAATACAGTCAAAATACGGAAAATTGGGAATGTAGGGTTATATGAGGTCCTATATTTTTCAATAATAGTTAGAATATTTTCTACCCATATACTAAATTACAGCTGATTAGTCCGTGCCCAAAAGCTTTAAAATACCGAATAAAGGGGGTATCTGATCAACAATATACCTACTCGTATTGTATGGGGTCTCCGACAAACCTATCTAGGTGTTACAACTTAGGCTAAAAAGGCGGTGGTTATATGGGGATCATATCAAAACGTGCATTTTTTCGGGATCGTAATCGCAGTTGTAAACAGAAATGGCTGTAATTTGGTTTGAGATGCCGCATGTTAACGAACCACGAGTGACGAAGATGTGTGTCTCGTCCGCAGTGTCGTATACTGGTAAACGTTAACAAAGGTTCGGCCTCGCTCCTTGCTCATAGCCAACTGCCCGCTCTTTGCCAGCTCCTCTCTCATAGCCAGCTCCTCTCTCATAGTCAGCTGCTCACTCATAGCCAACTTCTCCCTCTTTGCCAGCTCCACACTAATAACCACTAACTACTAACCGAATCCTGACAAACTCGAACCAGCCGATCAACAACAGCCGATCCTAAAGAACCGGTTTTCTTCCAGCTGACGGTAGCCAGCCGATCATCAACGAGCCCTACAATAGCCAGCCGATCATCAACGAGCCCTACAATAGCCAGCCGATCTTCAACGAGCTGACATCAGCTAGCCGGGTATCCTCGAGCCGACATCAGCTAGCCAAGTAGCATCGAGCCGTCTGTAACCAGACGATCACTAAAGAACCGAGTATTTTCGGGCCGACGGTAGCCAGCCGATCATCAACGAGCCGAGTATTTTAGAGCCTTCTATAGCCAGTCGATCTCCAACAAACCGACATCAGCTAGCGGAGGGAGTATCTTCGAGTCGACTGTAGCCTGCCGATCTCCTACGTACCAACTGTAACCAGCCGACATCAGTAACCGAGCACCTTCGAGACGACCACAACAAACCCGAATACCAACCAACCGATTAGCTTCGAGCCGACTGTAAGCAGCCGGCTATTAACGATCCGATCTTCATACCCAGGCACCAATACACCATGATAAAAATAAGTGAGCGTTGCAGTATAGTAGGACGGGGCCGATCATATGATACCCTACACAACTTCCACGGAAATCTTACTTTCTGTGGTTCTATATTCTGAGCTTGGGCAATATTTCGCGATATTTGAACTGTTTTGACCAACTAGTGGTCAACAAATATTACTAATGTTCAGTTCAGACGTTCTAATTACTTGTCCAGATTCCCTTCACCGTGGGCTCTGTTGTGATGTTCGGCTTCCAATTGTGGCCTATAGATCGACTCGAAAAACACACAAAAAATTAAGTTTTCATCCCAAAATTATTATCTGATCATCACCGAAAATTATAGGCGTTGTCCTTGACCATAACTGGAATCTCATGGAATCTCCAGTGTGGTAATGGGTTACTAAATAATATCAGAATACGTAATCACTTGTAAATATTTAAGTTTAACTCACACATCCGAGTACATAGGACAATATAATTGGTATTAATTTAAAGGTCAACCACTCCTCTGGGTATACTATCAACTTCTTGTGTCTATGTCCTTTAAGGGTAAATATGTACGCTATAGAATACAAATTTTGTATTTTTTTCACACAAAAGTCAGGGTCAATTTGACCCGTTAAATAATGACCGATCTTTATCAAAACAGGCATGCTTATTCTTTGGCCCGATCCCCTTCTCCATGTAAAAATTCGCAATGTTTGGGTCGTAATTGCGGCCACTGGAGCGATAAGAAAATCAGACAAAATTAAAGTTTTTGGTCCATTCATACCCTAAATATTAACCGATCTTTACCAAAAATAATTGGCCAGAACCCATCCTACATGCAAAATTTCGTAAAGATTGGTCCATAACTGTGATCTGTATCGTATTTATAAATTATACTGGACAGACGGACGCAAACTCTTCGGGCTACACAAAGCTATAATACCCTGACAACATAGTTGTGTAGGGTATAATGAGAGCTAATTGGGTTGAAAAATGAAACACGGATAGATATTGATAACACTCCGACCCA